GTGCAGACCGCCTGCAGGTCCCCTCAGCTGCTCGCCGTGGGAGTCAACTGCTGCCATCCGGCTGTGGTGGAGCCGCTTCTAAACTCTGCCAGGGCGGCACTGGCGCCCGACGTGAGCTGGGTGGTGTACCCAAACAGCGGGGAGGACTGGGACACTGAGCAGGGGTGAGTCTGTGGGGGAGGTGCTACTCTTCTCTGGCTCTAAGAGCTACATTCAACAAAACGGTCTGTTTTTCCCCTTCTCACACAAAGATGGCTGAAATCAGATCAGACTGCAGGATGGAGGCCTGAGCTGAGTCACACGTGGGTGGAGCAAGGTGCAGCTCTGTTAGGTGAGATCAATGTTTTGCCTCATTCATGACCAGTTTCACAGGACTTTCTCTGAGCTTCAGCTCTCTGTGCTCCAGGTGGCTGCTGCCGCATCGGTCCGGCTCACATCACAGCATTAAGGCAGCAGTTAAAAGGAGGCAACACATCCTCAGATTCAACCAGCAAAGTGTTGCATGTTGCAAAAAACTGATGAATAATTCTAAATAAAACTCCTGCTGCAGAATATTATTACAGAGGATCCTCAACTTTCCTCTGAAATTTCCGTTTGATTCGCCACGAGGAATGCTTGAAGCTTTAGAGAATTTAATTTAAAAGTTTTTCTTCATATAAAATTCAATAAAGTCTCATATGGAAAAACTATGTTTTTCTCTCGGTTTCTTAAACTCCTTTTACTCCCAAGAGTGTCTTTATTCATTATTAAAGCTCTGGTTCCCAAACTTTCTTTGGTGGTCCCCCCTTTAGATTCAACTGCAGTAAAGAATCCTGCAATAAAATAAACTAAAATAACATTTAAAATCCCAAAGCTAACACTTTTAAAGCGTAATTATTTCTGCTTATTTTACTGTGTAACAGATTTTAACATTCAGTTGAAACCTAAACACACCTGCTGTATAAATCCTTCAGCATTATTGTCATCAGAACTTTTTCAGGGTTTTGTCGCTTTTTGATGGAGGAGTAGAAGTGTGTATGTACGGAACAGGATTAGGGCCACTGAAAAATAAAAGTTAACTAATTTTTAAATATTATTTCAGTTTAATGTGGGACAAAAGTCAGGATTCTGACTTTTTTCTCAGAATTTTGGATCTTATTGTAGATGGGCACCATGAAGGTAGAGATGTGGGAGCACTCAGCCTCACTGACAAAGATGTGAGTTGTTTGGGAGGGCCAGTGACACATTGGTGGAAAATGACGGAATTAGGCAACTTTTTACGTGCCTGAGGGGTCCCTGGTGAAGCTATTTCAGTAATGGAAGAGCAGAAGGTGATTAAAAAAGAGAGCTAGTTTAGTCTCTAAACCAGACATGGCTACGGCTTGATGCTAACATGTTTGTTAGCTGTCAGAATTCAGTCAGAATTCTACGGAAGACGATTAGTGCCACTGAAAAAATAAAAGTTAACTGATTTTTACATTTTATTTCAGTATAATACGAGAAAAAAGTCAGAATTCTGACGTTTTTCCTGTATTAAACTGAAATAAAATATTAAAATCAGTTAACTTTTCACTTTTTCAGTGGCCCTAATCCTCTTCCGTATGTATATGTGAAAAACAGGTTGAGATATTCTAAAATTGTGTAAAGTGTTGCCTTATGGGAGCTGAATATAAAAGAAAAACAATACCCTTCAAAAAATATAATTTCAATGTTTAGATTTACCTTCCACTTTCCAACCATACACAACTTTGTGATAGTCTAGATGTTGAGGAGACATATTAATATTTTTGCACAGGTTGAAAAAAATGGCTTCACAGTGTTACAAAAAAAACAGATTTTATTGCAAAACAAACTCACTGGGATAGACCTGCTTAACTCCATCTGAACTCACTGGAACCCAGATGGTATCACAAAGTAGCTAACTGAATAAAAAAACGAGCATTGTGTTGACAGAAATGAAGCTCAAGATCACATTTTTAATATATGTCATGTATGTACAGCTCTTTGCCTAAAAAAAACAAAACAAAATAACATGATAAGCCACTCATCAGTTACTGAGGATTCACAAATCACAGTAGGACATCGCTGCTTTCACAAAACTTTGGACACCATTTCCACTAAACTAACCACTGTGAACCAGGCGGGGGACATTTCCACAGACTCTACCTGTACAGCACACTAAGGGGTTGTGTCCTCGCGTTCTAGCGAGGAACTGCTTGATATGATGCAGACAGTACTACTGTGGTGAGCGTCTAGTAAAAAGAAGAAACTGGAATGATGTTAAGATGTGTCTATATCTATAATAAGGAGAGGAAGGACATGAGAATGGGCAGCAGCATGTTAATGGCATTTTGCCAACACTCAAAACAAAAAAACATTTCTATGATTTAAAAGAAAATGTTTTTAAAGCTTTAAAAACACTGATCCATCAAACACTCGAAACATAAGACCTTTTTATCCATCAATAAATTACTCTTTATTACATAAAAATCTGACCATGTTTGCACCAATGTAAGAAATTGCTGCATTTGATAAAAAAAAAAAAAAGGAACAAACATTTAAGGACTTACTAACAAATATTGCCACCTAGTGGCTATTCTTTTACCGATTCAGTTCTCATTTCCTTTCACTCTCTGATCAGGTTCAGTGGAACAGGGGTTCCCAAAGTGACAGGTTTTCAAAATTATCATGATGTTCTCCCTGAGGGAAGAAATATATAACTGCTCAAAAAACATAAAGAGAACACCCCAATAACACATCCTAGATCTGAATGAATGAAATATCTCATTAAATAAAGCATCCGCCAACTCCTGGACAGCCTGTGGTGCAATGTGATGTTGGTGTATGGATCGAGACATGATGTTCCAGATGTGCTCAATCAGATTCAGATCTGGGGAACAGGCGTGCCAGTCCATAGTTTCAATCGCTTCATCTTCCAGGAACCAAATGAGGTCTAGCATTGTCCGGCAGTAGCAGGAACCCAGGGCCAACAGCACTTGCATATGGTCTTACAGGGGTCTGAGGATCTCATCTTGATACCCAATGGCAGTCATGTTACCTCTGGCGAGCACATGGGGGGCTGTGTTGCCCTCCTAAGAAATGCCAACCCACACCATTAATGACCCACTGTCAAACCAGTTGTGAAGGATGTTGCAGGCAGCAGATCTCTCTCCACTGCGTCTACAGTCTCTGTCACATGTGCTCAGTGTGAGCCTGCTTTCATACGTGAAGACAACAGTGCGCCAGTGGTAAATTTTCCAATCTTGGTGAATGCCAAGTGTCCTTTATGGTGTTAGGCTGTGAGGACAACCCCCATCTGTGGACATCAGGCCCTCATACCATCCTCTTGGAGTCGGTTTCCGTTTGAGCAGATACCAGCACATTGGTGGCCTGCTGTAGGTCATTTAGCAGGGCTCTGGCAGGGCTCCTCCTGTTCCTCCTTGAACAAAGGCGGAGCTAGCGGTCCTGCTGCTTGGTTGTTTCCCTCCTCCACATCTCCTGCTGTACTGACGTGTCTCCTGTTTGTGCAATCTCCAACTTGTGGACACTACACTGCCTAAGCCGACTAGATGAGCTGCACTACCTGAGCCACTTCTAAGGCTTGTAGAGCTGCTTCCTTAAACCCCAGTCGGCCTCGGCAGACGGCCGCTCACACCGAGCCTGGTTCTGCTGGAGGTTTATTCCTGTTAAAAGGGAGTTTTTCCTCCCCACTGTCTCTACAAGCATGCTTAGTGTGAGGGATTGAACTCGAGTCAATGAGTCAATGCAATCAGCTGGTTTTCCTTAGATAGAAAACTTTGAATCAGTTTGACTGTATGATCTGGTGAACTGTAAAGTGCCTTGAGATGAGGTGTTGTGAATTGGCGCTATAGAAATAAACTTAAATTGAATTGAATAGAGTCTACCTGATACTACCACAAGTGTAAAAGCACCACCAATGTTCAAAAGTGACTAAAGCATCAGCCAGAAAGCATGAGTACTGAGAAGCAGTGTGCGGTCCCCACAGAACCACTCCTCTACTCAGTGTTTCTTGCTAATTACCAATCATTTCCACCAGCTATCTATTCCATTTGAACACCAGCATGTGAAACTGATTGTCAATCAGTGTTGTTTCCTAAGTGGACAGTTTGATTTCACAGAAGTTTGATTTAATTTAAGTTATATTGTGTTGTTTACGTGTTCCCTTTGTTTTTGGAGCAGTGTATATTGAAATATATAAATAAGTAGACATAACTTGTACTAATTTATCTAATACATGATTTAACCAACAGAAACACCTTTAAATTGTAAAATATGGATATTTTTTAACAGTTAAATAATGAAATGCCCCATTAACTAACTGGAAATACATTTATTAAATAATTAAATATCTTTATAAATAAATGTATTTTAAAAATGAATAGAATTACTTCCCTTTATATGTATAAATACATTAAGCGTGAAGTCATTTTGTGTATTTTTCAGGGGTCACCAGTGTGTTGCATTGTTATTTTTGACGTCACAGACTGAAATGCCTGTTGAAGAAAAGTCTTTGTTTTTATTGTGATAAATATCAACTCACCGCCACATACCACAGTCCACTTATTCCTTTAAAATAGAGTGTCCCTGGAGGACTTAGACAATTAAAGAGTTTGGACGTACTTCTTACCATAGCTAGCACAATAAAACAACAGAGTGTCAATAATTCCCAAAGTTTGGGTCATGGATAAGCAAATATGGGGTCCTGAGATCTTCAAAATGAATTAGATAAAAAAAAAAGAAAAAAGAATAAGATCAAAATAATAATAATAATAACAAATCATATATGTGTTAAAAGAAACAAACAAACAAAAAATACATTGGTTGTTGTGTTTGTCAATCAATGATTAAAGGATGTTTTTTGGAACATTTATATTTCATCCAATAGTTTTAGTCATGATTCTGTTCTAGTAGTTTTTTTTGTGGCTTTGGGAACCTCTGTTCCAGAAAATGTACACCTCATTTTAGCCTTCCTGTTATCTGCTCTATGCTCTCTCTTGTTACTAAATTAACCGTAAGGAGGTATAAAAATATATTATGACTTTCCCAATGAAGAGAGTCTTTGTCAGTGCAACCATTTAGAGCTGATATATATGACCATTATGGCCCCTGTGCTAAAAAACATAATCAAATGTTAAGTCATTTTCGCCTCAATTTAAGCAGGTACTACAATTTGCAGATGAAATACAGTAAAGATAACTATTGTCTTATTTCAATTGCACCATATTTAATAATCAAAATCCTCCTTCCTGTGGCAGATCCTCTGATTTACCTTCTCAATACACTGATTTTAAGAAACTTTTACTTTTTTAGATCATTTTTTGCAGTGTAATGCTAAATCAGTTTCTTATGATGATGACTGGGGCTGAATATTTGCATGGGTGTTGCGACACGAAAAGTAGGACAATAGTTTGATCACGATACGATATTATCACAATATTGCAATATCACTACATATTGCGATATTTTCCCACCTATCAAAATGAAATGTTTATATATAAAAGAGCAAGTGCGGAAAATGTTTAACAGGAGATATTGATCATTTAATTATTTTGGTATCCATGTTGTTTTGGGGTGTGAGTCAGTCCATGTGTTCCACTGTGACCGCCTCACCTACAGAAATGGCGCTGAACCCACAGCGCTATCTGTCAGAGTGGCGGTGCAGAGGTAGCGCATTTTCCCTCATAGTTTAGATTAAAATCTTTTGTTTTAAAAAACTGATTCTAGGAAGTGAAAGATCGATATTATATCAGGCAGCCAAAAATCGCCAAAACGATTTTTTCCCACACCTCTAATGATGAAAAATGATACCATAACTGTTTTGTCCCTTAGACAAACTTTAAATTTCAACTCTACAATTTACTTGAATATTTGTTTCAGAAACAACTGAAATTACAGTTGTGTGGCTCACTTAATAAACTACAAAATGCAATTTTTCTGTTTATTTATGTCAATCTTTTGTTCTTTTCGCCCATATAAAATCATTGACCCCCCTGAAGATCCAATTTGTGATTTTCCAACTGATTAGATACATATTAGAGCCTAAAATCTGTCTTTCTTGTTTGATTTCTTACGAGTAAGTAATAAATCTGGTAGTGCCAAGATTATTTAGTGCAAATATTTGAAGCTGCATAAACGCTAATATCAATGTCGCTCCTGAAACTGGAAATATGACAGCGGGAAAAAAATAGAGGTGATGAAGTCAACACTAACGGAGGCGTAACGTTTATTATAAATATCCCCATAAATATTAAAACAATGAGCTGAATCAACGCCTTGCGTGTTTTTAAGAGGCCCATCCCACCCAAACCTCGGCCCTGCTCGTTGTGTCATCCGCCATCATGTCCCACTTCCACCTCCTCAGTCTGTGATGTCCTCCTCCAGGTCACTATCAGGGGAGCTCCTCTGTCTGTACTCAGTCGTGTTGGACAGCCGTTTCCAGCTGCAGGTGTCCTTCTGGCTGCCCATGCTCTGTGAGCGTCCCAGCTGGGACAGCCGCTTGGACGCTGTCCTCTCCTCCGAGTCCTCGGCCCCGCTGACGTGGGATCGATCTGGGCCGGAGTGGTGAAAGTCGTGCCGCAGGTTCTCCAGATTTAGAGCCCAGGGGCCGAGCTTCTGCCAGTTCACTCTTTGGAAAGCCATGATGCAGTGCAGGTTACCCCCCACCTGTAGAACAGCACCATAGGAAGCATGTAAATATAATATAATACGTTTCCACTCTTCAGGCGTTAAATTTGGAACCTGAAAATGCTAAAGGCTATAAGTACAGTGAAACCCAAAATGATTCATACCTCCGGTAGATTCAGGGTTAAAGCAGTATTTTTAATTTTAAAAACACTTTTCTTCTTATTGGATGTGAGGGAACCTAAGATTTTCAACAAAAATATCCTTAGGTACCATTAGAAACATGTAAGAAGTACAAAAAATGATTAGAAGGTCGGGATTAAAGCGATGCTGAGAAGGTTATCGAGAAGTTGAGTTAAACTTTTTCATTTCCAGTATGATACCCAAACTCTAGCATAGATGCTGGAGTACAGATAGATACTGATATCAGGGATCTAAGCAGCGTATTTCAGTGTAATGGGCAATTATGTCTAAACAACTAATTTTTATGCTGAAAATCCTGTCATTGTGCTAATTTTTACGTTCCTTTTACTGACATCTGGGTTCCCTCCCCAGTGTTTTAGCACAGATGCTTATTTCACCGAAACTTTTAGAATTACATTGGAAATGCCGATGACTTTTCATAAGTATAAGAGCCACAGGAACGTGTTTATAAACACAGATACCTCCTTATTTGCACATAAACACATGAGAAGCAGAGTGAAAACAGGAACCCAGCACCAAAGGAACACATTACTGCCAAGTTTCTTTATTTAGTGAATTTTCTGAGCAATTTTTCTTTTTTTCAAAAAGGTACTAGCGACAAATGTAGCAACCGGTTTGTTGGAGACTTTCTTGATAACATGAAAGCAGTTGAGTTTAGTGTCTTCAGTGAGCCGCTGCAAGCCTTCAAAACACTGACAGCAAGTCAGACGCCGCAAACCCTGTCTGCAGTCACGCATGCTCAAACTGATGCATCCTGAATTAAAAAAGGGGGATATAAATGTAATATTTCCCCTTTTTTTTTATATCTATTTTTTCAAATAGATCTTTCCTGCATTTAATTCATACACAAATTTGCACACTGTGTGCCTCCTTTAACTTTTAAGTTCAATTGGATAACATAAATATATATAATTTCAGTTCAGGTTTAAATAACCTTCTGGAAAAGTTTAGTTAAGTTTTAAACCTGTTTTCAGAATTTGTAATCTTCTCATATCTCACTAATGTTGATTTATCTGCAATATGCAAATTATGTGATGCATTAATATGATTAATTTTCTGGCATTTATTGGATCGATTTCTGATATCAATATTAGAAAAAAAGTCCTGGTAAAATATAAATATGCGAAGGAAGGAAGGAAGGAAGGATGGAAGGAAGGAAGGAAGGAAGGAAGGAAGGAAGGAAGGAAGGAAGGAAGGAAGGAAGGAAGGAAGGAAGGAAGGAAGGAAGGAAGGAAGGAAGGAAGGAAGGAAGGAAGGAAGGAAGGAAAAGAACAGGGACCTTTTTGGTTTTGCGGCGCTGAATCCCCCTCTCTGTGTGGCGGATGTCCAGGTATTCAGGGTTCTGCGTATTGAGGTCGGTCACGACGTCTGACCACCTGTACAGAGGAGGTTCTGTTCAGCAGCCAGGACACAACTGGCTATTAAATTCACTCAGAAAAAACAACAAACAAACAGAAACCTACTTTTTACAGTGGATTGCTGGATGTTTTCTGCTGGGTTCACCGATTAGGATCCAGTGCTCCATTTCATTGGAGGCTAGAGGACCCCTTCACACAGAACAGAAGATGATCTTAATCTCTATTAACACACACTTCACCAAACATTTCTGGGTCGACTTTTGGAAGCTCTAACTGACCTTCTGGCATTCTTCTACCAATTAGAAAAAGTTCAGTAACATGACCAACCTGTAAGCTTTAGCTGCTTTCAGCGGCGTAGCCTCAAAGCCCACTGGGCAGAAGTAATGGTTCTGACAGTGGTAAATGTAGGCCATGGACTCATCCTTCAAGCCTTGAGTCAGCTTCATCAGCGCGCCTTCAGCTAAAGAACAAAGAGCAGCTCTAACTCCTCTAAGCTCACCTCTAAATCACAGTCAGCACACGGCAGACTCACCTGTTTCTCCTGCTGTCTTGTGTTTGCCGTGAGGTTTGTACAAAATGTAGGAGCATCCTCGCATGCGGAAATTGTCATTAATTTGCCTGAACCACCTAGAAAAAAAACACATTACAAGAGGTGTGATTATAAAGGTGTAAAAAAAAAAAAAAGATTTTATTTAGTTTTAAGCTTAAAAAAGGAAGAAGAGGGAAAAGGTACCGCATTAATGTTGCGTTGCCTGTGAAGGGGCCAAACTTGATGTCCTCAAATGGCGGCTGGAAGCCCAGAATGTGCAGCGCCTCCTCCTGAGAGATGGGCGGCAGACTGGACAAGGGAAAACGAGGTAAGAGAGCCGTTTCAACAATTAACTTTAACACCTTTTGCTTTTATTTCACCCAGATAGTGTGAAGTCTGTTTAAAATACTGAAAACTGACCATTTTAATTGGATTGCTTATTGTTTTTTTTACCACTTCACTTTTTTTAAACTATTGATGAGTGAAATAATGTTTCAGTGAGCCATAAAGTTAGCAACAAATGAGTCCAGGCCTGCAAATAGCACTGGAAGTCGTCCGGTTATTAAAAAATAAGCTATAATTCTTTTCATGCCAGCTGTTTACTAGAACCTTTGTGTGAGGACGGTAGTCTAAAGATGTGTCCAAACATAATTCAGGTCTTCTGATTGGAAATCTATCAGAACGAGATAATGAAAGTGTGAAGAGCTGCTCACCTTCCTGCACCCAGAGTGCTGTACAGGAAGTTCCAGCAGGACACCAGAGAGGAGATACCACAAGAAGTCTTGTACTGAGGCCGACTGATGCAGTACCTGTAGAGAAGAGGCTATGGAGCTAAATAGCTGCTATAAAGTTTGTTTAAAAAAAAAAATAACTAAAAAAAGAAAAAACATCAAATGAAATAAAGTAATACCTAAATAAATGTGTTTGCAATTTTTTTTAAACTGTTTAAAAAAAATAAAAAAATGTAAACCTATTATATAAACGTTTGTTCAAGAGAAAAACTACTTTTCTGATCTTTAGTTTTATTTTTAAGCATGAAAGACAAAAAAACTTGAATCTGAAAAGTATTTCCTTCGAACAAACGTTTGTTTTTCAGACTTTAAACTTCTTTTGAACCCACTTTTTTTTATTTAGGTTTCTTTTTTTTTTTTTTTTTCAGGTTCAAAATTTTTTAATTTGAAAAAAAAAACAAAAAAAAACATTTTTTTAGAAAAACCTTTTTTCACATTTTCAACAGATTAGCTCCTGAAATTCCAGTAAATCCTCAGATCTGTAGATTCATTATAAAAGCAGTAGAACAGCTCAAACGAAAGCAGATTTTTATCCTGACTTGTTTAACTTGTTTTAATGTCTTAGTAAAGACAGGATTAGTACTTGCAAAAAATCTTCTAAACTGCATTTATTGAATCTTAAAGAGATCCATGAGGTCATTCTGGGTCAATATGTTTGAATTTACCCTTATAGCATTAACTGTCGACTGCACCCTCAGCCTCAATTGTAGAGATAGAAAAATAGGAAGGCAAAAAAAAAACTGTTTGGTGGATAAATGAATTCATATTTTATCCAAACTCAATCAATCTACAATCTGGTTTTGAAAAGATATGACGCTTTCACTAATCTGAATATTAGTTCTGAAACTGACCTATATAAAGTCTTAAAAATGTTAAAATAATAATCCCAAAAGCAATTTTTTTTAAGTCTTAACCACAGACTTCAAAATATTAGCGTGGGGTTTCCTGTGATAAATGTACGGAAGAGGATTAGGGACACTGAAAAAATAAAAAAGGTTAACTGATTTTTGCTGATGAAGATTCTCAGTCATCCAGGTCATAGTCATTCCATAAAAGAAAAAGAAAACAATCCACTGGACTTGGTTTCCAAGATTTGAAGACGTTTCGCCACCTCTCCAGGAAGCTTTCTCAAGTAGCTTCCTGGAGAGGTGGCGAAATGTCTGTAAATCTTGGAAACCAAGTCCAGTGGATTTTTTTGAACTTTTACGGGAATTAACTGATTTTTTAATTTTATTTCAGTATAATATGACAAAAAAGTCAAAATTCTGACTTTTTTTCTCTGAATTCTGACAGCTAACAAACAGATTAGCATCAAGCCGTAGCCATGTCTGTTTTAGAGACTAAACTAGCTCTCTTGTTTTAATTACCTTCTGCTCTTCCATTAAAGAAATAATATCACCAGAGAACCCTCAGGCACGTAAAAAGTTGCCTAATTCTGTCATTTTCCACCAATGTGATACTGGCCGTCCCAAACAACTCACATCTTTGTCATTGAAGCTGAGTGCTCCCACATCTCTTCCTTCATGGTGCCCATCTACATTAAGATCCAAAATTTTGAGAAAAAAGTCAGAATTCTGAGAAAAAACTAAGAATTCTGAGATTAAAGTTAGTATTCTGACTTTTTACCCATACTAAACTGAAATAATATTTAAAAATCAGTAAACTTTTTTTATTTTTTCAGTGGCCCTAATCCTCTTCCGTATAAATGACACAAAGTAATCAATAATAAAGAAAAATTAGATGCCTTTTCATGATTTATAACATGGAAAGGGTGATACATTTTCTCCAGTCTACTCTTGACAAGTCAATAAAGGTGATTACAAATTTAGCCTCCTGATAGAAAAGGAGCTACAAGAAAGCTGTAAAAAGTTGAATTTGTTGTTTTCACGGGCAAAGATATGGAAGATGCTCTGATCAGATAAGACCAAAAAGTTTACTTTACACAATAAATCCTAATAAAAAACATCCCCAGCTGTGGCAGCAAAGTGCCTTAATAGGAAAAATGCTCAAATTATAGAAAAAAAGATTTCTGCGAAGCACTAGAAAAGAGTTACTAGCCAAGACAACATAGTGTTACCATCTCCTGAGGTCCAGCACTTTTCTCTGTTTGATTTCCTCCAGCGACGCATGAACAGGAACATCCTGAAGGTTCCTGCCGGGTCTGTCTGACGGCCTCATTTTCTTAGAGCTGCTTTTCTTTGCATTGCCTGAAACATTAAATTACATAAGATTAAACTAATGGATGGATGGATGGATAGATAGATAATAGATAAATAGATGCATAGAGAATCTATGCAACTATCTATCCATCAATCATCTATCTATCCATCCATCCATTAAATGGATAGATAGATGGATAGATGCATCGATGGATAGATAGATGCTTGATAAATACCTAGATAGATAGAAAGATGCATAGATGGATAGATAGATGCATAGATAGATGCAAAAATGGATGCATAGATTGTTAGAAAGATGCATAGATTAATGCATAGATGGATGGATAGATGGATGCATAGATGGATAGATGGATGCATAGATAGATAGAAAGATGCATAGATGGATGGATAGATGCATAGATAGATGCATAGATGCATAGATAGATGCAAAAATGGATGCATAGATGGATAGAAAGGTGCATAGATGGATGGATAGATGCATAGATGGATAGATGAACATTGATACAGAGATGATAGAAAGATGCAGATGGATAGAAAGATGCTGGAAAGATGCATAGATGGATGGATGCATAGATGGATGGATAGATGGATGGATAGATGGATGCATAGATGGATGGATAGATGGATGCATAGATGCATAGATAGATGCCAAAAATGGATGCATAGATTGTTGGAAAGATGCATAGATGGATGAATAGATGGATGGGTAGATAGATAGATGGATGGATAGATGGATGGATGTGTAGATGCAAAGATAGATGCAAAAATGAATGCATAGATTGATAGAAAGATGCATAGATGGATGGATAGATGCATAGATAGATGCAAAAATGGATGCATAGATGGATAGAAAGATGCATAGATGGATGGATAGATGGATGGGTAGATGGATAGATGGGTGCATAGATGGAAGGATAGATGCATAGATGGATAGATGGATGCATAGATGCATAGATAAATGCAAAAATGGATGCATAGATGGATAGAAAGGTGCATAGATGGATGGATAGATGGATGGGTAGATGGATAGATGGGTGCATAGATGGAAGGATAGATGCATAGATGGATAGATGGATGGATAGATGGATGCATAGATGCATAGATAAATGCAAAAATGGATGGATAGATGCATAGATGGATAGATGGATGCATAGATAGATGCAAAAATGGATGCATAGATGGATAGAAAGGTGCATAGATGGATGGATAGATGCATAGATGGATACATTGATACAGAGATGATAGAAAGATGCAGATGGATAGAAAGATGCTGGAAAGATGCATAGATGGATGGATAGATGGATGCATAGATGGATGGATAGATGGATGGATAGATGGATGCATAGATGGATGGATAGATGGATGCATAGATGCATAGATAGATGCCAAAAATGGATGCATAGATTGTTGGAAAGATGCATAGATGGATGAATAGATGGATGGGTAGATAGATAGATGGATGGATAAATGCATAGATAGATAGATGGATAGATAGATGGATGGATGTGTAGATGCAAAGATAGATGCAAAAATGAATGCATAGATTGATAGAAAGATGCATAGATGGATGCATAGATGCATAGATGGATGCATAGATGCATAGATAGATGCAAAAATGGATGCATAGATGGATAGAAAGATGCATAGATGGATGGATAGATGGATGGGTAGATGGATAGATGGGTGCATAGATGGAAGGATAGATGCATAGATGGATAGATGGATGGATAGATGGATGCATAGATGCATAGATAAATGCAAAAATGGATGGATAGATGCATAGATGGATGAATAGATGGATGGGTAGATAGATAGATAGATGGATAAATGCATAGATAGATAGATGGATGGATAGATGGATGGATGCGTAGATGCAAAGATAGATGCAAAAATGGATGCATAGATGGATAGAAAGGTGCATAGATGGATGGATAGATGGATGGGTAGATGGATAGATAGATGCATAGATGGAAGGATAGATGCATAGATGGATGCATAGATGCATAGATAGATGCGAAAATGGATGCATAGATGGATAGAAAGATGCATAGATGGATAGATGGATGCATAGATGCATAGATAAATGCAAAAATGGATGCATAGATGGATAGAAAGGTGCATAGATGGATGGATAGATGGATGGGTAGATGGATAGATGGGTGCATAGATGGAAGGATAGATGCATAGATGGATAGATGGATGGATAGATGGATGCATAGATGGAAGGATAGATGCATAGATGGATAGATGGATGGATGGATAGATGGATGCATAGATGCATAGATGGATGCATAGATAGATGCAAAAATCGATGGATAGATGCATAGATGGATAGATGGATGCATAGATAGATGCATAGATGCATAGATAGATGCAAAAATGGATGGATAGATGCATAGATGGATAGATGGATGCATAGATAGATGCATAGATGCATAGATAGATGCAAAAATGGATGCATAGATGGATAGAAAGGTGCATAGATGGATGGATAGATGGATGGGTAGATGGATAGATAGATGCATAGATGGAAGGATAGATGCATAGATGGATGCATAGATGCATAGATAGATGCGAAAATGGATGCATAGATGGATAGAAAGATGCATAGATGGATAGATGGATGCATAGATAAATGCAAAAATGGATGCATAGATGGATAGAAAGGTGCATAGATGGATGGATAGATGGATGGGTAGATGGATAGATGGGTGCATAGATGGAAGGATAGATGCATAGATGGATAGATGGATGGATAGATGGATGCATAGATGGAAGGATAGATGCATAGATGGATAGATGGATGGATGGATAGATGGATGCATAGATGCATAGATGGATGCATAGATAGATGCAAAAATCGATGGATAGATGCATAGATGGATAGATGGATGCATAGATAGATGCATAGATGCATAGATAGATGCAAAAATGGATGGATAGATGCATAGATGGATAGATGGATGCATAGATAGATGCATAGATGCATAGATAGATGCAAAAATGGATGCATAGATGGATAGAAAGGTGCATAGATGGATGGATAGATGCATAGATGGATAGATGAATGCATAGATGAACATCGATACAGAGATGATAGAGAGATGCAGATGGATAGAAAGATGCTGGAAAGATGCAAAGATGGATGGATGCATAGATGGATGGATAGATGGATGGATAGATGGATGCATAGATGGATGGATAGATGGATGCATAGATGCATAGATAGATGCCAAAAATGGATGCATAGATTGTTGGAAAGATGCATAGATGGATGAATAGATGGATGGGTAGATAGATAGATGGATGGATAAATGCATAGATAGATAGATGGATGGATAGATGGATGGATGCGTAGATGCAAAGATAGATGCAAAAATGGATGCATAGATTGATAGAAAGATGCATAGATGGATGCATAGATGCATAGATAGATGCAAAAATGGATGCATAGATGGATAGAAAGATGCATAGATGGATGGATAGATGGATGGGTAGATGGATAGATGGGTGCATAGATGGAAGGATAGATGCATAGATGGATAGATGGATGGATAGATGGATGCATAGATGGAAGGATAGATGCATAGATGGATGCATAGATAAATGCAAAAATGGATGCATAGATGGATAGAAAGGTGCATAGATGGATGGATAGATGGATGGGTAGATGGATAGATGGGTGCATAGATGGAAGGATAGATGCATAGATGGATAGATGGATGGATAGATGGATGCATAGATGCATAGATAGATGGATGCATAGATGCATAGATATTGCAAAAATGGATGGATAGATGCATAGATGGATAGATGGATGCATAGATAGATGCAAAAATGGATGCATAGATGGATAGAAAGGTGCATAGATGGATGGATAGATGCATAGATGGATAGATGAATGCATAGATGGATACATTGATACAGAGATGATAGAAAGATGCAGATGGATAGAAAGATGCTGGAAAGATGCATAGATGGATGTATAGATGGATGCATAGATGGATGGATAGATGGATGCATAGATGCATAGATAGATGCCAAAAATGGATGCATAGATTGTTGGAAAGATGCATAGATGGATGAATAGATGGATGGGTAGATAGATAGATGGATGGATAAATGCATAGATAGATAGATGGATGGATAGATGGATGGATGCGTAGATGCAAAGATAGATGCAAAAATGAATGCATAGATTGATAGAAAGATGCATAGATGGATGCATAGATGCATAGATAGATGCAAAAATGGATGCATAGACGGATAGAACGATGCATAGATGGATGGATAGATGGATGGGTAGATGGATAGATGGGTGCATAGATGGAAGGATAGATGCATAGATGGATAGATGGATGGATAGATGGATGCATAGATGGAAGGATAGATGCATAGATGGATGGATAGATGGATGGGTAGATGGATAGATGGGTGCATAGATGGAAGGATAGATGCATAGATGGATAGATGGATGGATAGATGGATGCATAGATGGAAGGATAGATGCATAGATGGAAGGATAGATGCATAGATAGATGCAAAAATGGATGCATAGACGGATAGAACGATGCATAGATGGATGGATAGATGGATGGGTAGATGGATAGATGGGTGCATAGATGGAAGGATAGATGCATAGATGGATAGATGGATGGATAGATGGATGCATAGATGCATAGATAAATGCAAAAATGGATGGATAGATGCATAGATGGATGAATAGATGGATGGGTAGATAGATAGATGGATAAATGCATAGATAGATGGATGGATAGATGGATGGATGCGTAGATGCAAAGATAGATGCAAAAATGGATGCATAGATGGATAGAAAGGTGCATAGATGGATGGATAGATGGATGCATAGATGCATAGATAAATGCAAAAATGGATGGATAGATGCATAGATGGATGAATAGATGGATGGGTAGATAGATAGATGGATAAATGCATAGATAGATGGATGGATAGATGGATGGATGCGTAGATGCAAAGATAGATGCAAAAATGGATGCATAGATGGA